GGATCAAAATGTAGTGAAAAATGTCTCAAATAATTAGATGTTGTGATTTGGGGATTTGGAGGAGAAACAAACTTTAAATTATAAGCTTATTCTGCAGCATAGTATCAGTTGTTAGGAAAGTKAGGGTTTATGGAAAGGGTATGGACATATATAGTTAGGGGTGTACGAGTAAATCAGCTTGGGTACTTGCTGATACTGAGTACCAATACCAAGTACTTACTGAGTTAGAACTGAAATATTACACGATTGTAAAAACACATTTCTTTTAGAAGCTGGTACTAAATCAGGTGTAAATCTGATGTTTTTCAAAGAGTATTGACAGCATAAAATGTTCACTCTGGAGTCTAATGAAGGTTGCATTTATAATGTGATAATACATGCAAAACATAGTATTGGTTTCAGGGATAGGGGCATTTTGAAGACGTACGAGTACTTACAAAAATGCTGATATTGGAACACCATTGTTGTCWGTTTTGCATTACACATCTAATCATAGCATTCAAGATTTCTCAGGCTACACCAGAGAAAATATGGCTAGCTGCTGCTGTCACTATCTATGCTTGCTCACAACCCTAAATTTCAATGTAAACTGTGCAATGCAAAAAGTATGGTATTATAGTTATTTATAAAATGGTTTTCATGCACAGCTATGAAATTTAAGATGATTAAAGTTAAAGACCTGAACTTGTCAATATAACACTGCATTATTTTRCAAGTTTAGAAACAATAAACAGCTTGGAATCATTTGGAAACTTTATCAAATACAGAATTTTGTTTGTGGATTGAGGTGTTTGAGGTTTGTTGTCAGTAACCCAAACTACTGTAGCTCCAGTAGTTCTTTTAATATCACCCTTGCTTTTGTGTCACTTGAGTGTCATGTGATGAATGAGGCGAGTCGGGAATGGCTGTGTCAAAAAGAATCGTCCCAGAAGGGAAACTGATGTCCTTGTGAATCCTCYGAGACTTTGCAGCTTTTATACAACAAAGCATCCCACCCCAAAAATCCCACCAAGGACACATAATGTTTTTTTTTATTTAATCCAAATTCATGGAAAAGGTCAATTCTTCATTGCCACATAGTTATTTCAATATTTTTACAGCTAAACAGCATTTTTTTGCACACCGTAAAATACTGTTAAGTAGATTTGAAAACCAATACTAGTTGCAAATAAATTATCTTCTCAGATATTTTTAATGACAAGCAAATGTTTCCAAGGAACAAATGGAGCTAAATCCCAATTTTTTTCTGTTTTTAACTAGAAAGTATCTTAAAATTGCAATTAAAATGCACAATTTATCCGAACAGATATTCTATCAACTGATATAAGCTGAAAATGTTACATCATATTTAAAGATGGGATGAACTGCACATTAAAAGAGGCCAGATCTTGCGGATCCATTTGTTTCAATGAGCCGTTCAATTTTAAACAATTAGTGATGTGTTCCACCTGCCACAATCTGACGAAGAAAACACGAGGAAATCATAAGGAGGAATACAACTCAATGAAAAGCTCTCAATTGTTTGCAACTCTGTTCTCAGTGTTTGTTTCAACGAGCTGCTCAAAAGATTTGGATCATTTGTGAATGTCACATCTCTACTCAAGGTACATCCATCACTGATCAACGCATTACTGTTGCAGAACAACACCCACGTGTCGTGACAGTGATACTAAGTGATGAAACTGGATGGAACACACAAAACACTCATTTTCACATTATAATGTTCAATTACTTTAAAAAGGGGGAAACAATATCTTTATTCTGAAGAAATAAAACTACCTTGGTTAGCCCAAAAAAAATCACATCAAAATTCACAATGACAGGAGCAGTCATGCAAATTAAAAAACAGCCTATTTTACTTGTGCCCTCAGTCACTTTGTGCACTATGTGTTTCTTGAAATCATCCACCTTTTTAAAGCTGTAATGGTCCCTAAACCATATCACTCAACTGGATTGCATAATATGAATGATTAACCAGTCTTTGGTCCTGTCTCTAGTCTTTGAAACAAACAAAACAAAACAGCCACTTGATCACTGTTGTGAAGTCATTTTGCTTCTTTTTGCAATGGCTGGTCAGGGCAAGACTTGACATAATTCTATACTAAAACCCGTGTCTGAATGTTGACACTTTGTTGCATTATGTAGACTTTTAATTCCCAGCAACATTGACCATTCCAAACATTCCCAAATCCATCTTGTCCACACATAAAAGACAACATGAAGAACAGAGTTTCAGACCTTTTTTTTGAGCTGTGAAAAGTTTCTATATCGTGTTGTGGGTTCTACACAGCATAACTAAGACCCTGAAAGCAGCTTATCTGCTTAAAAYAGGAGAGAGAGGAAAGGGTGGAGAAAAAAAAAGGTTTGATTCCTCCATCTATTTCCTGGTTCACAGTGAGGGCTTATTKAACGCATTGGGTTCTCTCTTTAGACTCTCTCTCTCTTTCTCTCTCCACCATCCCTACTCCTCTAATCCACTTAGGCCTCTACTTCCTCCATTGGTTTTGATTGGCCAGGCATCCAAATTTCCTCCACAGGACTGAGGGAAATCAATAATCCTCACTGCAGTGCAAGAATCTCTCTTTTAAAACAACAAAATGCGATTAGAAGAATAAATATGCAATGGCTGAGTGTAGTATTTCAGCTTACTCATTTTTGTTTGTGGCATGAATGTTTGGCTYAGTTGTAAGGAAAAATGAGTTTGTTTTTGTTGCAAAGACATGTTAACTTGAATTCTCAGATTTATTTTTTGTGTACGCCAAATTTGTCTGGTTTTGATCATTTATGCCAGCAAGTTTTAAGCTATAAAAACAGTTGTTTCCTTTAGCATTTGTTGGGTCCATCCAAGGATCTACGTCTCTAGTTGCCTTTCTTTCAAACAAACACCAATGCTAATGTCACTGAAAACCCAGGTGCTTTTAGAGCCCCTTGAAGTCTGACATCAGTCCCCGCTACCCCCTTCTCTCCTCCTCACTTCCTCCCTTGGGCCCAATTTTCCCTGCATGAGGCTTCAAGGTCCTCAGCTGAGCTCTCTGTTTAGCATCAACAGTAGCATAACAGTGTGAATGTGTGTCAGACAGAATGGTAATGAGCGTCCCAGAGACAGAACCCCATTCTTTAAACCCCCCCTTTCTGCCTGAAAATAGATTTGTTCCTACATGCAAAACAGACATTGTAATCACATTTTCTCATTCTTGATGCACCTGGGGATTTGTTGCGTGCGCACCAAAAATGTAAATGAATGCAGGGAGACAAACATCATTGGTGATAAATCACATTACCTCCATATTCTGGTAGGCAACACAACCAGGCTGCACTGTAAGCAACAGTAAACTTAGCCCTGCGTCTACCAATCTATTTTATACAACTACTTATTGTAAGTCAGCATAATTTTTTTGTGTTTTATGGCACATCTGCAAGGATGTAACAATGTATTTTAGCTGGAAACATTTTACAGAGACCACATTTTGTGTACTACTGTAGACCTATGATAGCAAACTTCATAAAAATGGTCAAAGGCCATACAGTTTATCATCAAACAATATGGGGAACTGCTTAAGATTAGTCACATTATTGTTAGCAGAGTCTTTGCTCTTTGTTGTTTGACTAAGTTCAAATGGTATTTATAAAAATAAATATTATCTATTAATGCTTTTATGCTGAAAGGGGTAAACTGGATGTATCACAAGTTTTGGACTGGCTAATTTGCCACAGATGATCCCACCATCCTTCAAATTAAACCAACATAAAACTAATGGCACGTTTGCGTCAGTCCCACCAGTCTTCAACTGGAAGCAGATGAAGACTGACAGTTGTCTTAGCAGGTAGCAGATAGCAATTAGCTTCCACTATTTTTTTAAATCTGTTTAGCATATTAACATTAGTGGAGCCAAGATTCTTGTTTAGCAGATCAGTGGTTATTAAACCTAACTTTTTGGTTATCTGTGAACATCATTGGTTACATGTCACCTGCCTTTCATTGCAATATTTCAACCAAGATCAGCAGAAAAAATAAGTATGTTTAATGAACTCAAACGTGGGTCTTGCRTTTGGATTTTAAGCTCAGTATGAGTGCCATGAAGGGCTCAGCGGCAGGTTTTCCTATTGTTATGTGCCAGTGTCTCTGAGTTGGGCCTGATCACCTGCTGTGAACAAGCAAACTGATAACTGTGTTGGATAGAGTTTAATTTATTAATGACTTAATTCTTCCCGAGCCAAATGGAACAGGTTCATACGTTGCGGCGTTCCAGTTTCATTTTCTCTGGATGACCGAGTTGGTGCAGCAGGGTTTCTTTTTTTTCTTTTGGTTTTGTTTTGTTTTTTTAAAAAGGGAACAGAGTCATAATCTTCTCTATAAATCTTCAGAGATATGACTTAATGAAGATGTCGTCAAGGGTTGCTTTTTTTGGCCTACCAGTTAATCTTTTGTTGAGCTAGCCGAAAGACTTTGTGGGCCGGGCGGGACCACCATTTTATTATGCCTTTGGTACTGTACATCATGGACTAACAAGCTCGGGGAAATGTAGCCCATCTAAGCACACATGGTGAGATAATAAATGATCTCTCAGACTTATGGGGGAAGGAACACTTTTTTTGTTTGTTTGAGCACATTAGTTTGCTCAGTGTGGTTATATAACATGAAAAAAGGGCATGCTGGTAATAGATTAGGCTGCTGCTTGTACTCCTTTTCGCCACTACCCTTAAAATCTTGAAACATTGACAAATATTAATGCAAGTTGTGCAAACGTGGGGTCCTCAGGGGAGACTAAGATGCTTCAAGTCCTCTGCCCCCCCCCCTTCTTCTTTTTGACGTTGGCTATTCCTAACCCCAAGTCAGTGCATTGCTGGTAGACTGTCATTTTTCAAGGGAGCTTGTGACAACCTCAGCTTGTATTGAAGTTCAGCTTGCTGTACATTGTAATTTGCTGACATTTCTTTTTTGTTTTCTCCCCCTCCCCCCCACTACTCTGCTCCCTTATCCACCAATGGCATGCTCACAGATGTTGCCAACATTTCCGCACTAGGTAAGTCATTTCATTTTTCATCGCGCTGCCCTCTAGAGTGAGAGTTGCGTTTGAGACGTCTTGTTTTTGAGAGTGATGTGACTGCATACATATGTAGTACAGAGGCTTATAGAAGTAAGAGCAGAAGGGGGCACCGGAATGCTGCTGTTTGCCTATAAGGTATGCAGTAATCTGCAATTCTCACCTCATGTTCCCCAAGGATGTGAAATATGTGCTTGTGTGTGTGAGAGAGAGCAAGTAGATTCTGGGCTTTTTATTATAAATTTATTGAAAAATTAATCTGTTGTCCAAAAAACACATCTGCAGTGTTATGAAGAAGCAAGAAATGATGGTTTCACTACTGAGAGTGTTTTGTGTACTAATGTAGAGCTATGATAGCAAATCATCAAAAAATAGTCAAAGGCCATAAAATTTATTATCAAACGATGTGGGGGAACAGCTTAAAATTAGTCATATTGTTGATAACAGTCTCTACTCTTATTATTTTCTATTTCTAATGGCATGCATTRCATGCAGTGGTGAGCACAGTTCTGCTAATCTACTACAGCAAAAGTAGCTTCTTATTTAACAGATTAGCTTGTTTGCTARCTTTAGAAGTTGTAGCAGACAGACAGCTTTTGCTAAATTAAGTTCCACTGATATTAGGTTGACTAAAAATTCACAAGTGTTAAACCTAATTTTTATGCTATTTATTCCAAAATAAACAAAAACTAGCCCCTTTTTAGCAGTGCAGGATGTGTCTTCAACAGTAAATTTACAATTAAGAGCGTCAAAAAGAAATAAACATTTAACAATATTGACTACATGTAAAATATGGTATTATAAGTGTTAGCTATTTGACTAAATTCAAATAGTATTTATAAAAATACAAACTCAGTCTAGAAATGTTTTTATTCTGAAATGGGTAAACTGTATGCATCACAAGATGATCCCACCCTCCTTCAAATTAAACTAACATAAAACTAATGACAGGTTTGCATCAGTCCCACTGGTCTTCAACTGGTGTAATTAATGCTAACATAAAGGGTTTGTATCAGTTCAGGGGTTGTATCCTTCGAAGTCCACATTTATTGGCCACTTGAATCGTTACACAATGTGTCACTAGGATACAGTAACTGGGCAGTGTGTGGTCATGCAAGCATAGGTCATCTTAAGACTAGACAATCTCATTTCACAGCTACTGTATGCTATGCAGCCAACAAGGACTGCAAAGGTTGTGGCCTCTGTGGGCCACAGTCTAGCCAGGATGCAGCCCATGAAATGTGGAAACAGTTAAAGTTTGATTCCTGGCTTGTCTTTGTTTTACCATGAACCCTCATGGGGTGAGGACAGTGTTTATAARCTGACTAGATTCTTTATTCTTACCAGGTTTATTATGCACTGACATCCATTCAAGAGTTCCCTTCGAACTCATGAGTTAATTTTTTTCTCTGACTTTAAAAAAGGGTTGGTATTTCAGTCTGATTTTTGGAACCAGATGCATAAAACTGTCTACACTCATGACTAAACATACCGTTGATCTTCAAACCAAACCTGGTGGAGTTATTGAGAAAATTCTGCCACTTGTGAGATTTGCTGCCAACTAATCCCCAAAACTTCTGAAAATCGTAATTTTGCTGTTGGTGGTGCAWTGACAAAACCAAATTGTACTAAATTTATTGTGTGGCTGAAATGTGCATTATTATTGTTTATAAAGCTCTGTAAAAGGTTTATTTTAAGTCTAAGACTTTTCAACACACTCAATCACCAACCTGATGTTTTAATCATTAATAGATACCGACACTGTACTTAAAACATTGGATATGAAAACAGTAGCATTGTTGTGACATTTTGGAACAATAAAAAGACACTGCAAAATAATGAAAACTAAAGTGCAGTTTATAAAACTGAGACAATTAATGTCACTAGTCTTATTAGTCAGTCACATTTAAGACATTTTTTTTTTGTTTTCTTTTTGGTTAATTTAAGTTTTTCAAACTACTTTTTGTTTTAAACTCATCCAAAACGTTTTGTACAGTGGCCTAAAAATGTGATCATAAACTGGTGGTTCTGGGGCCACATTTGGCCTTTGTGCTCATTTCAACTTTAGTACTTTTGATAAATACAGAGTCAGACACATGAATCCATTTCTGTCAACAGAAATTTACATAAATCTGTTCATAATTACCAGAAATATGACTATTCACATTCAGGCCCCCCGCATTGTGTGCTTGGAAAAAAATATCATACTTGAACAAATTTAATTGATGAGCTCTAATTGAAAAAAAATTATTAACACAAATAATTATTTTTGTGTTGCAAACATTACATTATTCACACATCTAGTCCCAAAAATGCTTTTCTTCTTGTATAGGTCATGATCCTCAGAGCCCTTTTGAGTTTTCACATTTTCTTTTCCATTTGTATCAAAATGGCACAATTTGTTTACTTATTTGTTTATTTATTGTACTTTGTTGTGACAGGAGATCATAAATTTTATCGGCGCATGTGGCAGACAGGAGATCGTCAGGGTTAGATGGAATATGTGAAAATGTTTTAGCCACTGWGTGCCAGAACAAGTGCTGCATCCASTGTTTGGTCAGAGTGTTTTCAGAGACACTCAGCAGGTGGCAGGGATGTGATGGAGGTCAACAGCATGACTGACTGGACCGGAGCAGGGTGTCAGAGCTGGACAGCAGGACCGATGGTTGCGAGCATCTGCTCATGAGGGAAAAATCAATCACCTCATTCCAAGGTGGAGCTGGTGGAYTGTACTACAAATAAGATACCAAATCCTGATATTACTGTTGATATGTCTCGAATGTTTTTTTTCCCTCAGTGCACTTGATTTATCATACTTGAAAAAGCATCAGGAGACACCTTATTGTGTAACTGAAAACTCTCCACACTAAAACCATTTGACTAGTTTAGCGGAGTTTCTGCAAGCAGTTCTGGTCCGGCTCGCAACTCTTTGAGGCAGGCGCTGGCTGACTGCTCAGAAGGAAAAAAAAAAAAAGAAAAGAAAACCCCTGGCTAGCTGAGAATAATAAGTACCCATGGGAGGCCGCCAGATGGACATTTACTGTGAGCCTAGCTGGAGAGGGAGAAATCTGTCAAACATCACACCAGGCATCTGTGGGGGGTGGGCAGCGCAGGTTCACATCCACTACAGCACGCCGGATGAGAGGAGTGCTCTTTGTCCAGACTAAAAGCTGTTAGATTTTTGAAATATCAAATGTAGTTGATGCTTTCAAGGTCAGCAATTCACATTAYATTAAAACCTCAGTGTTGGAGTGAGAGCTTTAAATAATGTTCACATAATGGAGGCTGGAAAGATGTTGACTCTGGCAACTCAAATGTTCAACCTATTTCCAGGCATTTGATTGTTGTTAATTGACACTTRAAGGGGTAGTTCAGCTCTTTTTAAGTGGGGTTATGTAGGAAGGTTATTAAATAGTATCTTACCTGTGTAGATGGCTCTTGGAACAAACTCATTTTGGAAAAGTAATTTAATTTTGACTGAGTTTTTATGGTAACTAAAGTCAGAAATCTGTTTTCTTTCTTCCCAAATTGCATTTTCTTTTTCATTTTTTTCATTTTTTGTTTTGTTTTCTAAATTCTGCTCTTTTCATTTGTTTCTGAATTGTCACATTTTCAGTCTAACCTTATGTAATTATGAAGTGCCAAAAATGTTTTGGGTGAGGATAGTTTTTGAGTTGCAAGCATTTTTGWATGTCCAAGACACCCCCATTTCAGGTGGAGTCTCCTCCTCAAATATGGAGTTTATCGTAAAATTGTTGGGTGGCACAGTGTAGGTCAGACACATCTACATTCCTGCCAAATTTCATGTTGATCAATGCAGCCGTTTCTGTGATACTGGTGACCATCCATCCATCCATTTTCTTCCGCCTATCCGGGGTCGGGTCGCGGGGGCAGCAGCTTCAGAAGGG